ATTTTACTACAAAGAAAGAACAGGGGTTAAAATAAGTCGAAAAATCTTGAAGAGGTCAGCACTCAAAAATGTTTGAGAATTTCTGATGTTTGCACAATCAGTTACGTGACTTGAAATCAAAAACTTTTCTCTTAAAGGAGTTAGATAGATGTCTGGCATGACCGTTGCTAAAGAGGGAATATAATGTACAAAAGTAAGACACTACTAATTTGAGGTAAAAAGCATATATTTTACATTAAATATGTTAAAAATATAATTAAAAACTGCAGCCCGGTATTGTGACGATGTCAGAATAAACTTTTGAAGTCACATTTTATGTGAATTTTTTTTTATTTTTTAATATTTTTCGAGTAATACGCAATCTAAATATATTTCGTGCTACTTTTTTTCTGTTAGAATTTAAATCATTTTGCGTCACTTACAGCAATTAATAATTTAAATTTATGATTTATTGGCTGATCGATTGTAGAACTGTATTTAAAAAGAGTGAAAGTAGAAGAATGGTTTTACGAGATAATCAAGTGTCAACTTAGTTACGCCTAATCGCATTGCACAGATAATAGCTTTGGAAATTATGTCACTTAAAGTAAATTATAAAATTCCTCAAAAGACGTATGATGTGCTATGTGTTCCTTAAAAGACGTGTTTATTATATGTTCAATATTTATTTTTTAAATTTTCAATTACTGTATTTATAAGTTTTATTGAAAAATATAAATTACACCGATTTTTAATAAGCGATTTATTGTGAAGTTGTATAATAAAATCGCAACCGTTATTTTGTTTTTATATCACAATATTTATCTTTAAATATCATTGTTAAAGAAACAACAGTACTAAATGGGCGTTTGTGGTATCGATGTTTACGTAAACGTCAATTAATACGATATAACCACGAATAAAATACAGCTTATTTTATTTGTAACCGATCAGAAACGCTTGCTGATGAAAGAATACAGGATAGAGATTTCATAGCATGTGTTATCTGTTTAGTTTAAGCCTAAAGTTTTTAGTATTCTGTTATATCGCGCTGCCGGATATATTATCGTGCTTTTTCTTTGTCTCCCGACAAGCGCGATATAACGAGGGGCGACTGTATACATATAACATACTATCTACTGGGTTAGTCGCTGAGCTTTTTAAACAGAATAACTGTGTGGTTTGTTTTAATAATACGAAGATTGAATAATACTGAATTCATGCGTGACTTCAACTCATTTTTGTACATTTGAGGGTTGGTAGTTTATGCATATGTGAGACCGCGGATTTTAATGGAATTTTTAAAATCAATGTTAAACGTTTTTTTCGAATTGTAAATATCCCCGATAGAAAAAAAACTCTTTTGCAGAGTATCGGATCGGATGTCACCTTAGCATCAACAATCAAGTGGGAAAGTTGACACTTAGTCGTAAAAGAATGCAAGTCATCGTCAACCTATGACGGTCTCGTAACCCCTTTCCCACCATAATGCTATAAAAGCGACAGCCACCGGAAGCTCGAGGCGCATCGATTTGGAGAAAGAGCCGACAAGGCTAATATCTCCATAATAGTAACTGTAAGAAAGAGAAGAAAGAAAGCTCGAGGCGCGATCGACACTGGAAATTATTGTTGAGCTAGTGTCCATTTTGGTCTCCCGTCTGATCCAGTCCGACAGACTTGACGGTAGAAAACATAGAGGGCTTCCGTTACTTCCATAACAGAAACTGATCGTCGCATATAGCTCTCCATCCACACACAGAGATAATGAGCGGTCTGAGAACTCTCTCTCTCTCAACGGCAATAGGCATAGCTGCTATAGAGTAGCCCCGTTGTAAATAGTAGTTATTTGTAACCGTACTTAGCTTAACCGTGTTTAGCTCTGTTAGTTATATTCATTAAACCTTTATTTGTTTTGTTAACCTGTCATCTATCTTATTCGGAAACCCGGACATTTATCGACTTACAAACGCGCTCCCCACTCGAAATTTGCCCTCCTGAAAGCTATTCAATGACTAAGTGAGTGAGTTTTACCAACTCACGCGTAAGTGGTAATTAGGAATTGACCCTGTGCCCTCATATTCTCGCACATAATTGGGCACAATTAAAATATAAAAGTAATTTGGCAGTTCTTACACATTGAAAATTGTAAAATATATTTAAAATCTGTTAGAATTTTTTAAAGTAAATGGATAAACATTATGTTACTTAATTTCTTTTTAAAAAAATATCTGATGAGTTTTATACATTAAAAAATATGAAGAAAATACTAAAACATCTTCCTCTCGTTTTTCTGGCTTCGGTTTTAAGAATGTTACGCTTATGACTGCGTAATGTGTTACGCTGCTCGTACAATATTAAATAATTTTTTTTAAGATAAAGAGGTTACTATTTTAACAACTGTTGCAATCATAATTTTAACTTCGTCCATTATTTTTCCTTGCTAGCTGACAAAGAATAATAGTTTAACGATGCTCAGAATATTCTTAGCTCCGTCCACTAAGCCGCTCAGAATTCTGACTTCGTGTTCTGAATTAATGAATACGGCCCTGATTTTTAATAATTTAATTAAAATATTTAGGCTATTTTAGATCTATTTACAGCATGATTATATGACTAAAATTATTCAACTCAAAACGTAAAACTGAGTAAGATTTCAGCTCTGAATTACTTTTTAAATTAAAATTTAATTAAACAATTTAATATTAAATTATTTAAAATTTAAAATTAATTTTAAATTTTTATTATATATCCTACGACTAGTTTAAACTTGT